CACCGCCCCAAGAAGATGGCGTCCATACTCGTCAAACTCCTGTCTGCCCTCCGGAGGATCATCCTTCGACTTTACCCATCGCATCAACTGCTGAGTCTCTCCCTCGTTCCCGACCAGAAAGCAAGCGCTCTTCTTCCCCTTCATCAGTTGTTTCGAAGACCAAGAAGAGACGTCATTCTAAACAACGCGAACGCTCCCCTGAGCCACGGATGACAGCATTCCATTCCATCAATGAATCTCTGTCCTCCTTAGTTCACTGCCTGAGCGATGGACCTTTCGCCCCCGGCTCCCGCAGCCTCAACCCGCTCCACAGTTACAGACGACTACTCGGAGTGTGGTACTCACCAAAGCCTGGGCCAAGTCGGTGTCCCGCGTCAGGAACCTTCGGTCACATACGGGAGCACCCATGGATCTGCCCCTGACATGGCTGCACCTCACTCTGAGTAGCACACACAATCGTCAGGAGAAGACAACACCGACTCGACGGGCGACCTCACCCCCTCTGAAGGCTCCATCTCCTGCAGTGTGATATGATCCAGATCCTCGGCCTTCCAGCACCCACTCCCCCTGAGAGGGGCACCGGCCGCGCCTTCTTCAAGCGCCACACAATCAGGCTGGAGTCTTCAGATCCAACTTTCCCAGAGATCCCCGTTAACCGCTCTTGCATCGAGATCTTCGATTCAATCAGCAAGGCCAAGGCCCTGGCCTTATTACCACTTCCCGAGGGAAAACTACAATAACTTCTTATCGGTGCCGGAAATTCCAGACGCAGCTCGGGACAAAATCATCGCCGACTCAGGCAAGGCTCCTCGGAAGTCGATCTTCCGCGATAACGACAAGTCCTGCCTCGAGTCAGCCCTGGTTAAACTGGACAAGGCTTTTCGCCTCGGCCTTCGGTGTTCAGCTTTCCTCCTCCTCTTGGAATACATCGCAAGTGCATGCAAGGAGAATTCACCAGTGTCCCCAGACTTCGCGGCTCTGGCACTCCGGGGCCTAGATGAGGGTTTGGCCCTCACCTTCGAGCAATTCACTCGGATCTCCTGCCTGGCTTCCTCCAACCACAGAGCCAATGCCTTGGAGTCGATGCATATCCCTCACAAAGGCGTGAAGTCTAGACTTAAGATCTCCCACTTTCTGGCAAGGATCTCTTTACCGGCAAGTTTCTGGATTCTCTTGAGGCCGAAGCCAAACGCATTGACACCACGAAGAAACTCTCCTTCCAGGAGCTGACGACTGCAGCTTTGCGGCAAACTCAGCCACGTCAGCCTAAGAATCCCAAGCTGCTTCCACCCAAGACACATTCTTTTCGCCCTCAGCTCCCACAACCGACCCAGTGTCGTGCCTCGACCAAGCCCACCTGGCCACGGTCGACCCCAGGATCTTCGTTGCGGGCCCCCTGTTACTTCGGGGTTTGTCCCCGATGACTGCACCACTTCACATTCCACGACCGCCAATCTTGAACCCGGCGGCGGCCGTCTACAGAAATTCGCAGGGTTCTGGTGGGAGATCACCTTGGACGGATGGGTTCTTGCAACCATTACCTACTGCTACTCCCTCGAGTTTATGAGTGCCCCTCCGTCAGATGGCTAGAGGGAAGTCACTTAACCACCGATCTGCCATTCCTGCAACCAAAACCGGCTGTGATAATAACAACCGATGCGTCATCTCATGGCTGGGGGGCCTCCTCCCTCCTCACCAGATCTCAGGAACTTGGCCACCTGTCTTCCGGGCGAATCACATCAATGTTATGGAGCTGCAAGCGATATTCCATGCTCTGCAATACTTCCTACCATACGTCAGGGGAAAGAATGTCCTGGTTCATTCAGACAATTCTACAGCCGTGGCTTACATCAACCACCAGGGCGGCACTCGAACCCCTAAGTTGTGCATCCTCACTTGGAAGATCCTGCAGTGGGCAAGGGAACGTGCAATCAATCTGCAGGCCTTCCATATCGCTGGCCCAACAACACGTTGGCAGATGCTCTCTCCCGCGGCAAGATACTCCCGACAGAATGGACTCTTTATCCAGGGGTCGTCAAAACCCTTTTCGTGATGCTGGAGAGGCCTCACAACGATCTTTTTGCCTCTTCCTCCAAAGCCCAACTTCCATCATTCTGCACGAGACTTCTGCACCCCCAAGCCTGGGCCATGAACTCCCTGCAGATCAACTGGTCGGACATCCTGGGATATGCCTTTCCACCCATGTCCCTGATCCCAACGGTGCTCTCCAAGGTTGAACGAGAACATTGTCGGATACTCCTAATCGCACCATTCTGGCCTCGCCAACCATAGTTCCCCAGACTGACGAGGCTCCTGGTCCTTCGTCCTCTAGTCCTTCGTGACAGACCAGACGTCCTTCACCAGCCCAACTCCAGCATCCTTCATCCAGCTCCAAGGGATCTGCACTTAACTTGTTGGACATTGTCCAACGATCCTTCCACTCAGCGGGACTTTCTTGTCACGCTGCGGCCATGGCCGCACAGGGGTCTATCCACCCGTAAAATTTACAACAGCAGAAGTTAGTTGCATCTTGGGACTTAAATAAGGTTCTCCGGATGCTGGCCGGTTGTCCCTTTGAACCCTTGAGTAACACGTCCCTCCTACACACTAGTACTAAGTTGGCCTTCCTCCTAGCCGCAGTCACATCTAGAAGAGGCTGCAAATTACAAGCGCTCTCAGTAGCCGACGGTCATCTCCACTGGGAGCCTCATGGGGTCCGTCTGATCCCCGCTGTTGGTTTCTAACCAAGACCCAAACTCTGTCCTTTGAGCCCCTGGATATCTTCGTGCCTTCAATTTTCTCACATTCTGGGGATGATGCTGATAAACTCTGGTGTCCGGTTCATACCTTGAAATAGTACTTGGCCAAGACTAAGGGTCTCAGAGGATCAATGACTCAACTGTTCATCACCTCCAAAAGCTTGTATCGCCCAGCAACAAGAGACACAATAGCCCGCTGGATGTTTGCAACCATCAAGTTGGCTAACCCGGATTGGCCTTCACAACCTGATGAGCAAGGTAATCACTACATCAGGGCTCTTGACGTTGGAGCAGTTTCTACTTCATGGTCATACCTTTGGGGTGTTCCTATTGCAGACATATGTAAAACTGCATGCCAGAAGTCTCCCTCTACCTTCACATCCTACTACCTGAGGAACATCCTGCGTAACGACTCTGTACATGGCAGGATGGTTCTACTCCCCGTAGCACGAGCTCCGGCAACAAGGGCGGACAACGGAGCTCATGTCTGGGATGTCTATTGGTTGGTTGGTGTGGGCATGAATGGGACATGCTGGTTTCCAGATCCTGGAAGTGTATTGGTTGGTTGTTTGGGCTTGAATTTGTCTAATTATCAGTTGGGGCGTGGGTGGAATTGGTTTGGGATTGAACGTGGCATGTGGGTCCCAGGTCCTGGTACGAGTGTTGGCTGGCCAGCTGGCTGGCTGGCTGGCAATCCATCCATCCATAAGATGCAAGTACCCAGGACCTGGTCAACAGTGGCTGGTTGGTTTGGGCTTAAACTTGAAACATGTGTGCATGTACCCAGGACCAGGCTCAGCACTGGCTTCAATTTGAGATTGAATTGGGAATATTTGTACAATGGCTTTAGGCGGTGGACTCCTCTATGCAAGGCTTGGCCATTTGGCTAGATCTTATTGTGGAGCCATTTCCAAGGTGGGGAGGCAGGACCCCAGATGACTACGGGCCAATCCGCCAAACACTCCCCTGACCCATCCTCAGGTTCAGGAATTACCCTATCCTTGGGAACTGTTGCATGCAGACACAGTTAAATACATGTAGGTTGAACTTTGCAGTTTCTTGTCAAAGCTTTACACAAAGAAAGAAATGTAGCCAGTAATTGTATAACCTTCAAGATGCAATGACTTGGTTTGACAAAAAGTAATAATAATTGGTGACATTTGTGATGCTTCCGACATATCTGTTATATACTCAAGTATGTGAAGACTATATACTGCAGTGTATTAAAACAAAGTACTGATGCAAAGATAACAGTTAATTTGGTTAAAAATAAATTTTACATTTAATGTTTGTTTTCCTAGTTATACGGTTTGGCTTAACCTTTATCATTTATGGTTGAAGGAAGATGAAGTCAAAATGTATTGGGACCATGGCATCCGCTTCCAGGAGGAAATAAAGCATTCTGGAGATAAAGGAATATTGTAACCGTGTGTCTGTACAAAGTAGGTTCAGGATCACAATTTTTGTAATTCAAAGAAAAAAAATTATTAATGTTTTGAATAAATACGACAGACTCTCTTGATTTTTTAGGAGGGGAAAGAGTAACCCTTAAGCCCCGGGGGGGCTAAGAGCATCCTCAACAGATGTGCACAGACCAGTGTGAAACTGTTGAAAGTGTTGGTTAATTGGTAGTGCTGGCTTGTTTGGGCTGGCTGTTGTTTAAGTCATTTTTTACATTTGCCTCTATGCTTTTGTATGGATGAAGCTAGCATCTAACATCTTTCTCCATTTTTGCGTGTGTAAAATTTTGCAAGAACTATGTGCTTCCAAACTTACTTCATACGACTTTTAGCATTGTATTCCAACTTGATCGGGTAACCAAGATCACATACACTGTTCACGTCAGTCTCTTTTTTCTTTGGAACCCATTTACTTCAGCACCTGCAGATGTGGATGTTCACTAACAGTTAGGTTAACATAGTGGTTCTTTTGTCACCCTCCACCCCTGCAGCCTGGGTTCGATTCCCAGCTTGGTCCACAAGTAGATTTGGCTTTCAATCCCTACCTGATTCCATAGGTTTTACCCAGAATGTTCCGCTGGGGTTTTCCTGCCACCTCTAAAACTGTGACTGCTTTTCACTCTCTCCTCTCTACAGGTTTCTTCAGGCTTGCAAGTCTTGGTGTCCTGGCAAGAGATTAAAATAATAAATAAGTATTTGGCATTGATATTCAGTTCAGTTTTCAAATTTGTTAATGTATTATTTTAGGTATTCAAATTATTTGGGCATTTTTCTTTCATAGAAACTTGATTTACTGATGGCGAAGGCTCACAGTGCAGAGGCTGAAGCACAAGCTGCCAAGGATCAGGGGGAAAAGACCTTACAGCAGGCTGAAAAAATCCTGGAGGACCTCTTAGGTGAGAAGCCTTCACCCTTTTCATTCATTAAACGCAGCCTGTTTTCTTCATCAGAAAGAATTTTTCAAACAGAAATCTCTAACCACAAATCTGCATTTCAAATCAGTGTGTTGAATATTGCTTATTGTTTCTGTATAATTAAAGCAACATTCTTACTGAGCAATAACCACTTGCTGCTGGGTGGATTTCTCTTGAGCAAGACAAGATGCCAGGTCCTTTTCAAGATTTTCCGTTTTCAAAATTCTTCAAAAATTCATCATTTCATTTAATGGCCATTTATACCTACATGAAGGACTCTTTGGGCACTACTCTAAAGCTGACAGTTAACCTTCATAGAATAGTTAACCTTTGAATATTTCAGCCAGGCCTGCAGCCATGGAAAAAGAGCCCAGATTGTGCAGTGTTACGTAAGATTCTTTTGTTCCTGAAGCCGGCACAGTGCACTGCTGACCTCTTTTCAATAGGGGCCAGATTAGCGTGCAGCGGTGCTGTGTGGCTCATCGCTGCGGTGGTGGAGAGCTTTTGTCCCCAGTGGTAATTCGCTCGCGCTAAATGCCTCAAACTGTGGTATACTGTTTCAAAACAAGGCTGGATTATCTCCACTATTGAGAGCGAAAAAATGTCGGCAATGCCCAGCAGCTCAGTCTTTTGTGCTGAGCACGGTCTTTTGTTGTAAGGCCCAATTCTTTTGTTCCAGTTTGCTCCCCGGCTCTGCATGTACTTGAAAACAGGTCACCCGGCAGGGAGTGGTTAACTTAGGAAAACTACCAAATAAAAAGCCTATGGTTATGAAACATAAGTTCTCAATATTCATTTTAGATATCTGCAGTTGTTGAGCAATACATATCTCACTCGGCAAGACTTAGTGATAGGTGTTTTCAGCTTTTACACCAGCCCACATCTTTCCCATCTTCCAATGTGACACCTGTACTTAACTCATCATCCTTTACTTTTTTATTTGTGCCAAGGATTCAATGAGAAAGTGGAGACCAGTAAGATGAATGCCAGTGAGGCACTGCTGAGGATTCCTGAGATTGAGATGAAGATTGATCAGGCCAACCAGACCTCTATAGGGGCCCAAGGTACTATTGATGAAGCCAAGGAAGATGCCTTGAAGGCTAGGGAACAGGCTGCTATGGCTGAGGCTAATGCTACAAGGGCATCTCAGGTAAGTTTTTCAGGGAGTGCATTACAAAACTCTCCATATCGTTCATTGCTATTTTGAATTTTTTGTAGGGGTGGGAATACACCATGTTCAAATAAACACAAGTCAGTGTCAATGCTTACATGTGTTTTCTGTCCAACTTGGAAAAGAGTTGTCTGTTCCATTATAAAGTTTGGAAATTCTTGAAATGTGTTGAAAGATAATATTTTTCATTGTTCCCTGCAAGGTAATAAAAACCTCTTATCTTACAGGTTTTCATTCTTGGGACAAAACTTATCAGTAGATTTCCTTATTCTCTTTCAATCACCATCTGCGCTACATGTATCTGGAGAATGCCTGTAGTGTTTCTCATCTGCAAGGCTTATTTCACCATCTAGCTTTCCTCCCTCCTGTAAACTTATTGTTATCACCGCTTCTCTCCAAGAGGATGTAAACGAGAGCTTCCATTATTACATTGTTGTAGGGAGCTGAGAATATCAAGGCAGCGGCTGATGACATTAACAAGGTAGCCCAGGGACAGAATGACCGTGCTGATTCTATCCAAGGTAATGCCACACAAACCATGATGGAATTGGGAGCATTGGAGACCCAGGCAGATGATGACTCTCAGCTCATCCAGCAGGTGTGTATACTTGAAGTATTCCGAGCTGAAATGTATGGTTCTAATATATGCAGAATGGAGGAGCACTAAGTAGCCAATAAAAAGCTTGCAAAGGACACTTAGTATTTTGCTGGTCCACACACTGTGAGACCAGAATACATGCAAACCTTTTGATGGAATAAAAAACGTGAAACTTAACAATAGGTTTATTTTTCACGTTTTAAAAATGTGATAAGTCCACTTTCACGTATGTCAAAGTATCACATATGTATTGAGCTAGCCTTATTGCTAGGGTTTTCTTTCACGTAAAGAATGCATAAAAACCTTGCTCTGCACACGCCCATTGTTGGCAGCTCAGCAGAGGTCCTGTGAACAGTCCTTTAATAGTCATCTCCGTAGCCATGTTGCTCAACCATGTATACCAACATTTCGTGATCAAACCACAACGTAAGGCGTCATCCCCAAATTGACTAAGCGTTCCAGGACGCAAACATTTCACAGAATCACAGAGAACATGCTAATCCCTGCCAAACAGGAGCCTTTAGCAACCCAGCGGACGGAACACAATATGCAAGCTTTATGCAAATTACCAACCTCGTGAATACGCCCAATCTTCCGCGTGTCAGCTGGCAACCTTTGGAGGGCAAATCCCTTCGAATTAGCACGTGGTCGAGTTTCCGCTGACCGACTGGTCGACTTCCAGTTTAATAGAACAAGACAAAATGCTGATCGGCCGCCAACTTAAAAACTCAAGGTGGTTTTTTTTTTTTCTGAAGTCTGCCGACCGCCGTGGTGGGAATCCCGAAATGGATGCATATACTTAGGTACTGTCCGGGATTTGCCTGTACTTCAATTTGCCAAAGTTGACCGATCTGGGGGGTTGTAACTAAGTTACTTTATGTATCATTCAAGGGACCTGTTTCAGCTTTTGTGTACACTGCTCTGAGAAAAATTGAGAAAATCGCTGTTCATTTTTAACTCTCAGAGCCCAGCTCATTTAATTTGTCTTGAAAAACACCATGGACTGCAGGACGTTCCTGCCTGCCAGGTCAGTTCAGAGATGAGTCGATCAGACCCTTAAGAAAGACATTCTTTTTCCTTCACTTTTCATAGTAATTGTGGTTGGCGAATTTACCTTTAACTTTGTGTTTCATTAAAAGTTTCTAAAGATCGTCCATCTGGACTATCTTTGGAAAAATTTCTCAAAAATGACAGGATTTCTGGCTTTAAGATTTCACAGATTGTCTGACACTGTTACATACTTGACAGTAAGATATACAAGATCTTTGACAGTCCCGTTTTTTGAGATCTTACAAATCACATAGGCTTACACTCCTCAGCGCAAGGCAGAAAGCTGTCTGACAATCATAAAATAAGTCACAGCATAAAATCATGCTGCCATCAGAGCAATTACTGGGTTTGTTCTGAGTTTCAAGTTTTATGAGCGTGAGATATGCCTACCAGCATCCAGTCATGTGGAGGAACAAAGAAAAGGGACCAGTCGCTAAACCACCTTTCAAAAGTGACAGTAAGTGCTGCAGCCAAACTGCCGGATCGAGCCCAAAATCATAAAACATGGTACTTTCAAACTGAACCAAACCAAACCACATGCACTTGTTGGTTTGGGTGTTCGGCTTTGATATGGCATGGCATTGATAGCAAGCAGAATGTACTTCAGAAAACTTGATTAAAAAGCAACACCATGAAAAATGGAAAACAAGTTTCAGTACATCATATGCCGCATCCGCACTCGGCAGATGTGCGAGTACACTTGGCATCACAGGGGTCGAAATTAGGAGTAGTCCGCTAGCCCGAGGCTAGTGGTTTTAGTGGGAGGACTAGTAGTTCCTACTTGTCGGTAGTCCGACGGGCTAGTGCCTTTTTTAGCAGGGGCATGAAAAGAAATACACACTGTAAATGTAACACCATGCCGTGCAGTGGTATTTTGATTGCAGATGCATGTACATGTACATTTGTACAGCCTACCGTTACACTGTAGACACGACGGGTTCTTTCCATACACAACACGGCCCATGCATACATGTAATCACGTCGAGCTGATACTCTAAACACGTAGGCCAGCCACATGACATTGTACACATCATACAAGTGTACGTGTGGATTTTACGGTACCCCAACACTTTAACGATATATTGTGCAACAAGAAAAACGTTTTCTATTGTGCTATCGCGAAAATAATCCAGCATTTTGTCCAATCAGCCTGCGTGTTTGAAGAGATAACAATAGTCTTTCCAGCACGTAAGATTGATTTCTACTGGCTGTTACTGAAAAGAATGAAACGATTCGGCCAATCGCATTGTGCGTTAGAAACAATACAATTTTCCGAGCGCACATGGATCGATACCTTCTTTTCGGATTCGCACAATTTAGGAAACGATTTGAGTTCCAAAAATCCAAAACTTAATTATTTTAGTTTGATTTTAAAAATTGTGCAAGTAATATAAATGCTGACAATGACATCGATCATTAACCCTTCCTCTGCTTACGCAAGTATGACAAAAATTGTGAATGTATGCTGTTTTGGGTTACTTTAACTTAAAGTTTTAATGTGAAAATCCTATATTGGCTTGCAAAAACTAAAGTGAACGTTGCTAGTCTGGGGACTAGAATCGTGGAAAGTAGCAGTGTTTGCCTCCTGGGACCTGCATGCCTGCTGGAGAGTAACATAAAATGTGGAATAGCAAATATAATGCATATTAAACCATACTTATATACATGGAAATGAAAAGAGTCCTGCGTTGTTTTACTGTACTTAGGCCTAGGCCTATTAGCATTTTTGTAGGACTACTGAGAAACTCAAAGGACTAGTAAAACAATGACATTACTAGTCCTGTGGGCTACCATAGAAACCAAGTTAATTTCGACCCCTGCATCAAATGCCGCATCCGCACTCAGCAGATTTGCGAGTACACTTGGTGCGTGTACCGGGTATGTACAGAAAATTTGCGATAGCCCCGGATCACATGATGATGTAAAATGCACGTGGTGAGAATTCACTTATAACCAACCAAGAACATTTAAGGTACAGCATTTCAGCTGTAGAACAGTACTAAATTTTCACTACATCCAATTGTTCGCATGCATATTCAGACCGACATTATGTATGCCAATCTCCAATATTCACACCCTTACATTGCATATTAGGCCAATGATGTCATAAATCAATATGCAAAACAAATGTTGATTGGATGCTGATCGTAGTTGGACTCGTATTCGATTGAAGGCAACTCCAGAGAGAAGAAATAAAAGATTTTGCCAGGCAGACTATAGCAGCACTTCCGGGACGTGACAAGAGTTGGTTCACGCAGGGACCAAATAAACTTTCCTCTTGTTTGGTAAAATCGGAGTATTATATGTTGTGATAGAATTTTGCCAGAACTCCAAGTTGTTAGCAGATTTCAAATAAAATGCTGTTATCCATTTGAAAAAAAAAAACGATGGAAAATTCAAAATTGCAACTCGCATGTGGTCGCCATCCTGGAAAAGAACGCTGACTTGATACCAGGGTCTTTCAAATATATCGAATGCCACAGTTTGGTAGTTGAACCTGCTTTGTGAAAAAAAAACCAGAACATAATTCACTCGAAATCCAGTTTGAATTTGTATCCTGTAAAGTAGGAAATTCCCATTTGAGCATGCTGTTTATGATCGTTCTGTTGAGTCAAGTGTGGTTTAAACACAACCCTTTTGGTTAGAGAAACACGTTTTATTTATCACACCGCCTCCAAAGATAATATTCCAAGGAATTGTAATGCCTAAATAAACTTTGGAAAAACATTTAAAACTTTGAAATCAAAGTTGCTCATGGATATGGGATGGAGAAGGAGATACAATACTTGTATTAATGTATCATTTATACACGGAAGTACTAAGGCACATTCGTAGCAAGCTCCCAGTACGTCTCAATGTGCGTTGACCATTGCACATGTGTACAATAAATGTACATGTACGTATGCACATGGGTGTACATGTCCCAACCCTAACCGAAGCTCAGCAGAAAATTTCTTAATGATCGTAACAACCCCATCGTCTTTAATAAATGTTGATACTGGAAATGGGGAACGTCTTTTCTACAGAACGGCCGTTGGTATTCATGAGGTCCAGAGATATCATGCTTATCATGATGCTTTTTGTCGCGATGACAAAAGGACACACAGCGGCCCAGCTCATTAAACCCCCCACGCTTCAGTGCACACCTCCGTCGCATCCGCGGATTTCCCCCTACTTAGCAACGGCAGACCAATCGGAAAAAACGCGGACAATAGATGGAAGAACACTTACTCAATTTGGGGATGACACCCAAGTCTCAAAAGGGGATTAGCTGTAAACCAATCAATGAATTTCTTTCAACGTAGAAAAATATGTGAAATGTTGACCTTATCATTTATTTCTTTGACTGACAAGCAAAGCGCTAAATAGACATTGCTTGATGAATAGCCTAATAGCGATCCACTACACTCATGACTGTCATTTTCCTTGCTTTGGATTGGGACAATTATTCAGTGCGACTGCCACTCAACTGATCCACAAATTCACATGAAATGGGTTTAATAGTTTACCTTTTCTGAAGTATAAACCAGAAAAGTATTTTCTAAATTTAACCTTTTACTCTGGATTTAAAATTATTTCTAATTGTTATAAAAAAACACACACACAGATCCTGCATAAATTTTGCTTTTTGACTGTCCCAATACCATAAAATGTGGAGGCACGTCATGCTTTGAAATCAATTGCCTACGTGTAGTTGGGTACGTTTCAATGTATTTACACTAGTGATTCGGAACCATGCAAAAATTTGAATTCTCTTTAAAAGTTGGTTTGACTCTATAAACATTCGATTCAAGAGTTTTTAGGAGTGTAGGGTATGAAAAAGCATTTGGAATCACATATTGTAAACAATGTATTGCCTGGACATTTTGTGCTTTCACCTTTTGGCTTTCATGTTTTTTACATTCCCAAATCATCTGAATGTCAAATCCCTAGTCGCAAATCTGGCCAAA